GAGGGGAGCTGCCATGGGGGAGGCGCCTCAGGGGAGCTGGGGTGGGGAGCTGCCGCACGGCTCCCCGGGCAGGGGAGGGGAGCTGCCATGGGGGAGGCGCCTCAGGGGAGCTGGGGTGGGGAGCTGCCGCACGGCTCCCCGGGCGGGGGAGGGGAGCTGCCATGGGGGAGGCGCCTCAGGGCAGGGGGGATGGAGAGCTGCTGCGGGGGAGGTGCCTCAGGGCGGAGGGGGGCGGGGAGATGCCGCAGGGCTCAGGGAGGGGGGAGGGCGCAAGGTGGAAGTTTCGCCTAGGGCGCGAAACATCCTTGCACCGGTCCTGCTTCCACTGCCAGGAAAGAAGCCAAGGGTTTGGCCCTCAAAGTCCCCCTGCATCCGCTGCCTAACGGTGCCTCCTGAGCCAGGGTTGCACTGCCAGGGACTCCCCTGCCGTGGGCTGCCTCAGCACAGTGGAGTAGCCCAGGGTAACCCCAGTCTGTCCATTCCACAGCCGGGGAATGTGGAGTTTTGCTGAGGGCAGTTTAACTGCCTGTCTTTTTACCACGACACCACTGCCCCAGCACCCCAGCTCGCTGGAGGAAGGGGCGGGCTGGAAAGTTAATACAGCCGCTGCTTGCCAAGGGGGATGCATCTCTAGCACAGGCTCCCCCACCCCTCCAGAGCCCTGCACCCAACCTCGGCAAGTTCAGGCTGGGGGGAAAAGGACTGGGGACAGAGAGAACTCCCAGCAGGGGGATCCTGAGGAGACACTGGCCGTGGACGCAGGAGATAGTTAATACTTAGTACAGGGAGTATGGGGGGAGCTAGGCCTGGAGGTGAGCCCAAGCATTGGACGGTATGTGGCCTGTTTGGCCCTGGTCCAGAAGGCACAAGGCCTGGCTGATGGGCAGAGCGGTGGAATTTGCTGGGTCTGATTGCATTGATTTCTTTGATGCTGCTGCCCGCCAGCACAGACCCTTGCAAACTGCCCTGCCCCTTCAGTGACCCCATTGTCTTGCCCTCAAACACGCAGGCTGGCCTGGCCCTCTGCTGTCCCATGTTCAGGGGTGTGTGGTGACCCCTTTCTCCCAGTGTTCCTCGGTGGCCATTTCCCATCTCTCCCCACCAGCCCACTCTCCTGCTGAAAGGCCCCGTGCCTCATAAGAGCAGCCATGCCAGATCAGACCAGTGGTCCAGCTAGCTCAGTATCCTGTCTTCTGACAGTAGCCAAGGCCTGATGCTTCAGAGCTAATGACCAGAACAGGGCATTATCGAGTGATCCATCCCGTTATCCAGTCCCAGCTTCTGGCAGTCAGAGGTTTACAGACACCCAGAGCATGGGATTGGATCCCTGCCCATCCTGGCTAATAGCCATTGCTGGACTTATCCTCCAGGAACTTATCTAGTTCTTTTTTGAACCTTGTTATAGTCTTGGCCTTCACAACATCCCCTGGCAATGAGTTCCACAGGTTGGCTGTGCGTTGTGTGAAGAAATACTTCCTTTTGTTTGTTTTAAATCTGCTGACTATTATTGTCATTAGATGATCCTGATTCTTGTGTTATGTGAAGGAGTAAATAACATTTCCTTATTATGCATCCGAAGAAGTGGGTTGTCGCCCACGAAAGCTTATGCTCTAATAAATTTGTTAGTCTCTAAGGTGCCACAAGTACTCCTGTTCTTTTTAACATTTCCTTGTTTACTTTCTCCCTGCCAGCAGCCTTCTTTCAGCCACTGCAAGCTGGTTGGATCCCCCATTTAAAGCACATGGGCACTGCTCCTAGATCAGCCTGTACCCCTGGCTGAGCATGACCCATGTTGCTTTCCCCCTTCCCTCAGTCTCTGGCCCCTTTGCTGCCACCCTATGAAAAGCTTATTGTCAGTTCATGGGGTAGTGATGTCACAAGGTAAGTCAACCAATCATCACCCTTCCCTCTCCCTATTGGACTCTGATGTGATGTCAGAGGTGAGTCGACCAATCACCCATTCCTCTGCCTGCCCCCTTCCCACTGGAATGTGACATCAAAGGCACATCAGCCAATCACCGCCTAACTTCTCCCACTGCCATTCATTTGCATATTGTAATGTGATTGGTTAAAATGTCTTTTCCCTGAATATGTCCTGTTCTGAATTAACAGCCTAGCCTTTGATGGCCTCATTTGAGGTGTGCAGGGCCTGGCAGCTGGCCCGCTCCCTGGCATGAGCTCAGACATGCAGCATTTGGTCACTGTCCTGGGAACATCTGGGGGACTCAGGGCATTGCAATACAGGGGGTGTGTGGGTATTTCTCAGCACGTGTTGCAGTCCTAGCTGCTGTTGCTCACTCTGGTTTTTCTCCCTCTATGAGGCCAGCGCAGACCTTTAATTTGGAGCCTGCAAAGACGTTTGTATCCCATGGGGCCAGTTTCCTGCTTTCCTAGGACCTGACACCACAGCCTGCCGCTGGCCTTCCATGCAGGCCAGAACCATCCCGTTTGCCTGAACGTCACGCCAAACAGGCCCAGCTGGCTGTTCATGACCCCATGCTGGGGTCCTGTGGCTGCGCTGCCGGGCATTGGCCACACACACACAGAATGGTTTTTAAAGCAAAGCCCCTCCCCCCGCCCCAGTCGAAGAGCCCAGTGAGTGAGAGCGGGTTGCAGCGGGGTTGAACTGAGGGACAGGGATGGCTCAAACCCAGTGATGAATGACGCCCTTCCTTTCCCCCCCCCGCTACACACAAACCTTTCGGATCGCCTTCTGCTGCTCCTGCGCCAGCCCATACACTGAGATCCTGGCCTGGAAAGCAAACTCCTCCAGCTCATACTGGACGCTCGGGGCTCGCTTGGTCCTGGATGCCATGGCTGCAACCTGCGGCTGTTGCTTAGTGACTGTGTCATGATAACAAAGGGGCCTGGGGAGCTTTGCCAAGGGCCCGCCCACTGCAGCCCGGTGGCACCATGGCGCTGCTGGTGTGCATGCCTCGCTGTTTGAAGGGGAATGCAGGGCACAGGGACCGTGGCTGTGGGGGCCTGAGCCAAAGCCCACGGCCATCCAGGGGACCCTTTCCCATGGGGAGAGGGATGGCTGGGGTGCAGTGCAGCATGTGGGTAAAAATAAATCCTGTGAGGCATTTTAGTTTAAAGGAAAAGTGTCTGTCTGATGGCCCTGTGGAGTCACCGATCCTTTGCGCAGCAGGGGCAGTGCCTGGGCAGGCTCCCCCGCCCATGTGCTGCAGCCCTGCTCACTGCTAGGGTTAGATCAGGCTTCAGCGCCCGTGGGAACCTTGGCCTCTCTGCCCAGTCGGCCTGGCCCAGTGGTTAGGGAGCTAACGGGACTGGAGCAAAGCTGGGGGTCAGTTTCTGGCTCCGTCACAGACTGTCCCTAAGGGCTTGGGGAAGTCGCTTGGGGAATGTGTCCCCAGCCTGCATAATGGGGATCGCACTGCGCTAGCTGACAGGGCGCTGGGCGGTGACTCGCGTGGGAGGGCAGGACGCACTCAGATGTGGCAGTAAATAGGGGCTAAGAGCCGGCGCTCGCTGCGCCCCAGACAGCATGCAGCTGGTTATGGCTTTTAGTCACGGCTGCCCTGCACTGGCCTCAAACTGCCCACCCTAGAGCTAGGCGGGGCTGGATGCCATTACCAGCCCCCTGCCCGAGGCTGCTGCGGGCCTGTCCCCGCCTGAGAAGTGCAGGGTCTCAGTTGGTACCTTCCTGGCACTCAGTGCCCTGGGCCCAGTGTATGGCATTGCTCTAGCGTGATGTTTGTGGGTGACACCACCACTCCCCAGGCCCTGTGGACTCTTCCACAGGGACCAAGCCTGTCCAGGTGGGAGCCAGAGCTTCCCAGAGACCAGCCCAAGGCTGTGGTTGGAACTGGCCCAGGAATTGGGGCCCAGCCCAAACCGCTCCACCAAGTGCCAGGCATCCCTCTGTCAATAGAGTGCAGTGTGGCCAAAGGCGACCAGCCCACCGCCCTGCCCACACACACTCCGCCAAGGGGCACAATGAGACGCAGCTTCTGCTTCTGAGGGATGCAAGCCGCTCACCCACCTGTGCCACCCACTGCCTCAGCCGGGCTGGCCGGCACACACTGGGCAGCTACTCCTCCCCCCCGAATTCAAAATGGGGCTAAAGTTATCGTGACCCCCAATGCCCTCTCGCTCCCTGAGCCCCCACATCCATCCCCTGCCTGACCCCACCCCAACCGCTCCCTG